AGTTAATTAAATGTCAAACTTGTGGTCGTCAGCTGGCCCTTGAGAAACTGCACAATGGTTAATATAGTTTGCTATTAGCTCTCTATTTTTTCTATACCTCTATTCATCTTGCTTAAATGTTATTTGGGTTCATGGTCCATGAGCAGGAAATGTTTACAGTACTTTGAGAAAAGCTGAGTAACTTGCCTCCTTAGTGTATTTATCTGTCTTAACTTTCTTTCTATTTCCCATTTTCTACTGTGTCTTACATCTAAAATCTGTCCTTTCAATCTCTTTATAAGACCCCTTTAGTAAAAAGAAAGTCATTAATAGAGGAAAGGAGTTACAGTGTCAGGAAAACAGAGGGAGTTTTAGGAGGGGTTTCTTTAGAAGTGGGTGTGACAATAGAACTAAGAGAAACAGGAATTTGGGACTTTTGAGCCAGATCAGATTTCAATACAACATTGCCAATTTGCATCATGGAGAATATGTTGTTAGTCACAAATACAATGATTCCTGTGACCAGAGTAACAATTGTAAACATTAGGGCAAGAAAAAATAAAACATGAGGGTACGATGTGTTCCACCCTCCTTTTCCCCCAGCTGGAACTTTGTCAAGCAGCATTGGAGGTTGGTCGGGCTTCGCCACAGGGCCACACCCCAGACCTGCCAGTCCCAGGAGCAGGCCCCACAGGAACCCACAGGGTCACCCAGGGCCAGGCCAGGGCCAATCAAAACCTGAGGTCAGAAAAGCAGAAGTGTGCCCTGCTTTCTCCCATGTCTAGGGCATGGGAAACTAGCCCCGGCCAGGGCAGGGCAGGACACCGGCCACATAGCTGCAGGACTGAGGTCTGGAGAGGTCAGTGTCACCCAGAGAGAGGCTGAGGCAGGGTCTCCCCCAGGCCCCTCTGTGGGCTCCTGCTCCTTCTGTTTTCCTTTCACCAAAGCTTCAGCCTCAGACCCATTATGTCCCGTCACGCGATCCTGTGGGTGCACCTCCCCTGGGCTGCATGGCCCTCACCTGAGGAGCCTGGCCACAGAAGTGGACAGGTGGCCCTGCACTGGTGAGGTGGGGACAAACGGGACCCAGTCCAAATCCATGTACAAGTGGAGAAGGGACACCCTTGAGCCCTTGTCTTTCCACCCTCCCGGCGGCACAAAGCAGCCTTGGTGGGTTCGTGAAGGAGGCCTGGTCCCCAAGCCAGTTCCTGGGCCTCTCTTGTCTCTCACATGAACGGTGGGATTTCCAGTTTCATCTGCTCCTGCCCAGCCCCTCCTGAGGATTTGCGAGAGGGATGAGGATGGAGGGGCTGGGTAGGGTGGTGGCTGCTGCTGTGCTCGGTGCCCCTCCCATGTCCCCAGAGGTGTGACGCTGTGCTGGATGGGACAGCCACCCTTGGGGGCCACCGTGGCTGCCACCTCCCTGGCTGGCAGAAGGAGCAGAGCTTCCTGGGTCTCTGTCCTGCAAGGCTGCACCCTGGGCCTGCCCTGGGGTCCGGGCTTCCAAGGGGGACACGGGGTCTGTGCTGGACAGAGGACAACAGAGGCTGCACATTGTGCCCCCTTCGTACCCCCACAGTTTGCCTGGCTTTACTGTGTTCTTACCCTGAGCCTGCAGGAGCCAGGAAGGAGAGGGAATCAGGTGGCCCTTGGGCCTGAGGAGGGAGCACCGAGGGAGAGGGAGGCAGGATGGTTCCAGGCTTGGAGGGGTGCAAGAGGCAGAGGGAGGCGCCAGCCTGTTGCTTTCACAGGGGGCGGGGTGTGGCTGTGGACGTGGGGTGCAGCTGGTCCTAGAGATGAAGCCTGAAGGACACAGACCACCTGCCAAGTGGGCGGCAGACAGTGGTGTGGCCAGAGCCCTCCCGCCCACGTCCACGAGGCTGGCAGATTCCGATGCTGCACCTGACACATCTGTTCAGACCCCTTCCTCTTTGGAAATGCACCTCGCCACAAGCTTCCTCTTTCCCTTCCATCCTCCATGGGCCTGGGGAGGCGACAGCAGCTTCTGGCTGTCCTGTCTGGGCTGCACCCCCAGCACCCCAGGACTGGGTGCCACCCTCAGGGTGCAGGCTGCTCCTGCACATCTGGCCCTGGGCCTGGGACCTCGTGGGCCAGCTGGGGTGGGGCGGCCCCCTCTGCCCTTGCTCAGGCTGCTACATTCTCGTCCGCAGCACTTCCGTAGCCCTGACAGGAAATGCTGCAGTCTCAACCTCCGCCATCTCAGGCAACTTCTTGTTTCCCAGTTGCCCTGTGCTAGCCCTGGGGTTGTGCCCCTTGGCTCCACCCCCAGCACTTTCCCAGGGCCCGGTCCCAGCAGCTCAGAGGGGACAGGATGGTGGACGTGATTGCTAAACTGACCAGGAGGCAGAGCCAGGCCCTGCGGGTTCAGGTAGGGAGGGAGGCTTGGGGGTGCACAGAGCCTGTGGGCCGCCCTGTGAGGAGCTGGCAGGCTGGGCTCTTCTGCCTCTTTCCTCCTCTGAGGCCCTGCTGTCTGAGTGGGTAGCAGGGATGCCAAGGTCTGCAGCTCTGGCCAGCAGGGTTGGGGATCAGGGGAGCATGGTTGCCAGGAAGAGTAGGGCTGCAGCGCTGCACAGCCAGGGTCCCTCTCCCCAGGCGGTGCTCTGCTCTGAAGGGAGCCACTTCCTCTTTGAAGCTCTGTGTCCCCTGTGTCCCAGGCTTAGACTGGGCTGTCAGAACCCTGTTGATGGGCTGGGCTGTGCATAGGTCTCTGGGACAGGGCCACCTCTGCCACAGCCCCATTGTAGGACAAGCATGTGCCCTGCCTCTGGGCTCCAGTGAGGTCCTCGTTCCTCCCTGCCCAGGCCTTAGAGTGCTTCCCTCTGGGGCTCTGCCCTGTCCCCCACCCCAGGTGGTACCGCACCCCTCTCTGCCCTGCGACAGCTCTGTCACCCTGGGGATCTAAGCTTCTCTCTCCACAACCGCCTCTGTACCTGTGGGTGTGCTCGTGTGTGGTCCTCATTGGCCCCACCAGCCTGGGGCTCCTGGTGGCTGCACAGCCAGCCCAGCGGGCTCCCCCACCTCCATCCTGCGGTCCCTTGGACAAGCCAGGCCCCTGAGTCCAGCTGCGAGGCATGGGCAGCTTTTCACTGTCACCATCTGTCCTCCCAGGGTCTCCCAGGTTCAGGGGCTCGAACCCTTGTTCTCAGAAGTTCCCACGCAGAGCTCTCTTCTGCAGTGTCAGGGGTGTGGGTTTGTGTGTTGCTCCTTAGACATGGGACTGACTTGTGTTTTAAAGCAGAGTTTGGGCCAGATCTGGCCTGTGCTTATCTTGAGCTGGGCAGGTGGGCAGAGGTCTGGTCCATTAGCTGACCATCAAGGCAGAATGGCACGGGCCCATTGTGCTGAGTTTTATGCCCACTGGTGAACTCTCCTTGAGAGGCCCTCTGAGATGAGGCCACCATGGAGCAGGACTTGGAGGGGCCAAGCAATGAGAGGACAGCTGGGGGAGGTGGGAGGTGCCTCTGTTAGAGGCTGGGTTCAGTCTGGTGTGCTGGGGATACCCGTGCCACCTGAGGTGTGGGGGCAGGGAAGAAGTGGGCAGAGCATTCCAAGGGCTGAAAGGTTCAAGTGGGAACCGGTAGACCCTGTCCCCTGAAGCTCCTGGGGTCTCTTCTCCGCTGACAGTGTCTGGCTCCCTACCATGCAGTGATGGGCACACCATCCTCACTGCCACTTATACACACATGCGCTCGAGGTCGGCATGGCACGCCGGGAATCTGTGCCCACTCATGTCCTGCTGTGTGCCCAGAGCCAGGCTGAGTGCCTGGCATGGACCAGAGCAGCCCTTGTTGGATGGATGAATCTAGGTGCCTGCGGGGGGCCCAGGCAGAGCCACCTTGAGCAGACAAGCTTCCCACTCCCTCCAAGGTGTCACAGTGCACAGAGGGACTTAAGAAATTTTAAAGTTTTACTGTACAAAATTTAGAAGCTACAAAAAGTTTAAAGAAAAACAATCAAACCCTTGGCTGGGCCTGCAGCTCAGTAGAAGAGCACTTGCCTGGCATGTAGCTCCAAGCTCAATCCCAGCAAAAGCCAAAGCCAAACAGAACCTCTGTATCACACTGGCCACCTCACGTGTTAGCATTTCGGATGATTTCCAAGCACACAGAATTGGACTGCCGCTGATCTACCATTCTGAAATCTGCTTGTGTATTTGGCATTACGTGTTCCTCGGAAACTGTATTAATCGCCCTTTGCTGCTCCCGCTGGGGTTCGATCACGCAGTTATCTGTGCCGAGGGCGGTGGGCTTCGTGGGCTGGGCACGGGGGATCTCTGCAAAGGCGTGGAAGCCCACCCTGAGCTGAGTCCTGAGGGAGGAAGAGGAGCCAGGCAGGTGCGAAGGGCGGAGCGGCCAGGCCACGCCCTCCCCAGGGGCGGGGCGGGGCGGGACCTGCATCCACTCGGAGCCGCTGGAGAGTAAAGTTCGCAGTGAGGGGCAGGGAGTGGCGGGAAGTGAGGCGCAGACAGGGACTGGGCTCTGCCTTCCAGCCAGCTGCGAGCCCGGACAGACGTGTGACTCAAACCTCGTGGGGGGGGGGCGTGGATTTAGAGTGACCGGCGACCCCAGCCACCTGCTTCCTCCGCGGGGCGGGCACTCGCCCTCCTTCCCCCTCCACGAGCCCTGGCTGTGGATGCTGATGCCTGCGACTCCCACACTGGAAAGTGCAGGCCCCACCCAGAAGGGTTCGGACCCCAGGGCTCCCTGGGCTGAGCTCGGGCGGGGGTGGCGGCGGGGGGGGGGGGACCAGAGGGCCGTCCCACCAGCGGTCCTGCCCTCCCTCCCACGTTCCTGAGGCCTGGGTCTGGTCAGCGGGACCCGCCCACCCACTGCGCGCTCAGTGCCCCGCAGGCCGCTTATCTCCCCCTGCGCCCCCCCCCTCCACAGCATTCCTGGCGTGGGCGGAGCAGGCGCTGACTCTGGGAGGCCGAGGCCGGCAGGGGAGGTGGGCGGCGCGCCCGTGACCCTGCGACCTGTCCCGGTTCCTGTCGCCGTCTGCAGGTGGATTCGCCCGCTGAGCCCGTGTATGTGAACGTGGGGCTCCCCCCGGCCCCGTCACCGCCCGCGCCCGCCGCCCCCCGGCCCGACGCAGCGTGGGAGGAGCACATGGACGAGGGCAGCGGGCGCCGCTACTACTACAACCGGGACACGGGCGCCACCACGTGGGAGCCGCCCTGCGAGGCGGGCCCGGAGGCCTCCCCGGGCTCGGTGGGCAGCCACAAGAGCCTGGAGGGCGAGTGGGACCAGTACTGGGATGAGGAGAGCCGCAGGGTGTTCTTCTACAATCCGCTGACGGGCGAGACGGCCTGGGAGGACGCACCCCGGGCCCAGGCCGGGGACGCGGACGAGGACACCGACCTGGACGTGCCGGACATGTGGCCGGGCCCGAGCCCGGGCAGCCCCGGGGGCCAGCGGGTGAGGGGCGGGGCCAGGAGGTGGGCGGAGGCCGGGGCGGGGCCTCGGCGGGGGCGGGGTCCGGGCCAGTGGCCCCGCCTCTCCCGTTGGAGAGCCGGCCACAGCGGCGGGGGGCGGGGCAGGACCGCGGCTGAGAACCCCTGCTCCCCGCAGCCCCCCACTCCCGAGGCCGACTACCCCGAGCCCCTGTCCAGTTACCCCGAGGAGGAGCACTGTCCCCCCGCTGGCGCCTGTGGGGAGCTCAGCCCCACGTCCCTGTCGTCCCCACCCCCCGGCTGGTCCTGTCACCTAGGCCCGGACCACCAGGCGCTCTACACCAACCACTTCACGGGAGAGCAGGTAGGGCAGAGGCTGGGGGGCGACCGGGAGCCCCAAGCCCGGCGTCCTGGCATCTGCTGGCGGGACCTCCCCTCCCGTGAGCAGGTCTGGGCTCTTGACGGCCCTCGTCCCCACAGTGGGTGCGGCTGGAGGACCAGCACGGCAAGGCCTACTTCTACAGGCCGCAGGACTCCTCCGTGCGCTGGGAGCTGCCCCCGGTAACCAGCGGGAGGGCGGGGGCGGGGGGCGGCTGGAGAGTGGAAGGGATCCACGTGACAGCGACCTTTTCCCCAGGTCCCCGTCCCTGCCCCTCGAAGCATCCACAAAACCAGCCGGGATGGTGCCACCCCAGCCCCAGCCAGCCCCCCACAGGAAAAGGTAAGGGAAGAGCATGCAGGCCCTGGAGACACCACCGGTAAAATGGGGAGTCCTGAGGGGCTGGGGCAGGGACAGTGTGGGACATCCTGCCTTCCCCAAGGCCAGCGCCAGGCCCAAGCTGGAGGGAGAGGGTGGTGGGTGGAGGAGCTGGCCCCACCTCAGCTGCTAGGAGGGCAGTGAGGAGGAGACTTGTCCAGCCTCTGCTGTGGCTCACCCCGGAGCTCCGCTTTCCCGCTCTCTCTAGATCAAGACCCTGGACAAGGCAGGGGTGCTGCATTGTACCCGGACAGCAGACAAGGGGAAGCGTCTCCGGTGAGAGCTCATCGGGGCCCAGATGGCAGGGTAGGCCTGGGTGATGGTGTCCCGGAGCACTTCCTGTGCTCAGGGCCCTCTCGTGAGGTCTTAGAGGCTCTGAGAGATAGGTGGTGCCTTGCCCCAGGCCCCTTGGCTGCTGGGCAAGATGCCCTCACCCTGGGGGCCACAGCGCAGGCCCTGCCAGGACCAAGTCTGAGCCCTTCCCGCCCCCAGGAAGAAGCACTGGAGCACCTCCTGGACAGTGCTGGAGGGCGGTGTCCTGACCTTCTTCAAGGACTCCAAGACCTCAGCCACAGGCGGCCTGGTGAGGCCGGGGTCCTGGCAGGGCCCTCCCCATCTGACCTGGCCTACCCTGGGCTGACAGAGCGGGGCTCGGCAGAGAGAGGGCGATGGCAGCAGATCCACCCAGGATCGAGGATGAGCAGTCTGGCCACCTTGGGCTGGGCTACGGTCCTTTCGGGTGGAGGGGGGAGCCGAGCCTGTCACCCTGCTCCTGGGTGGCTGGGTGGGCCACAATGGACAAGCCAGGACGTCTGGGGCCCAGGGTTCCTTCACCCCAAAGCTGCTGCCTTGCTCCACCAGGGTCCCCAGTCTGCCCCTAGAGCCAAGCCAGTGGGTCAGAGGCAAGTGCTGTCGTGGGCCCTGTGAGCTGAGGGTCCCATAACCCCACCACCCCCCACCCTCTGCAGAGGCAGCAGCCTTCCAAGCTTTCCACCCCAGAGTACACAGTGGAGCTGAAGGGGGCCTCTCTTTCCTGGGCCCCCAAGGACAAGTCCAGTAAGAAGAATGTGCTAGAGGTGAGCAGTGGGCAGGGAGGAGGGGCCTTCCCCATGGTCAGTACCAGGAAGGGGGAGCTGGGAGAGTGGGGCTGAAATTCTTGGGGCACAAGGCGAAATCTACCTATCCTGGGGCAGTATTTCCAGGAGCTGAGGGCTGTGAGAAGCAGAGGGTTCTGGGAGAGGAAGCTGTCATGCCCAGAGCTGCACCCTACTCTACCCGCTGGGCAGGGACACCTGCTCTTCCCAGCTAGAGCCAGCTTCTGACAACTGGGTTCCCAGTAAAGAAACCAGGGCAGGGACAGGCTTGCAAGGATCCCCAGCAAGAAGAACAGGAAAGCCCAGGGGAGGGCATCACAGTCCCACGCCTTTCCCTGTCCCGTTTCTCTGGTCTCCTTTTCAAACCATTCTGTCCGTGCCTCAGCCCCTGAAAGCCATGCAGCAGATTTTAACAAAAACACAGGTCATAGCTGGGTGAGATGCCAAGTGCCTGTAATCCCAGCACTGGGGAGCTGAGGCAGGAGGATCAAGAGTTCAAGGCCAGCCTAGAGCTCAGGGCTGACTTGTACTACATAGTGAGACCTTCTCTCCAAAATAAATCAACTCCTATAGGCGGTGAACTGGTAAAATCCCCTGAAAAGCCAGGACCGGGCAAAACAAATTAGATGTGGAAGTCAAGGTGGAGAGGGACTGGGGGCAGGTGATGACCAGGTGCTAAGGTGGATGCTGAAAAACGTAGCTCATGTCTCTGGTAGCTGAGGTGAGGAGAGGAGCTATCAGTGACATGGCTTATTGTTGGGGCAGAGGACCCTACCCAGCTCTTCAGGGAATCACAGTTCCTTCCTGGCCCTTTATTCTTCTTTTTCCGTACCGGGGATCCAACTCGGGACCTTACACTTTCAAGGCAGGCAGCGGCACCACTGAGCTAAATCCCCAGCCCTCTCACCCTTTGTTCTTAAAGAAATTCCTAGCGTGTAGTTCAAAGAACACTGGGTCTAGGGGGTGAGGCCAGTGCCCTGCCACCTAGCACCCTGGAGGGTGACAGAGACCTCATGCCATCCAGGTAGCTTATTATGAAAGGACCAAAGCATGGCCTTGAATCTCAGCTCAGAAAAACCAGCTCTTCAAGGAGCCTGAGTGCTGCATTTTCTAGTGATTCACCAAGGTTTGTCCAGTGCCAGAGCCAGGGTGTGCAGAGCAGTGGTGAAAACTCAGTTTTATAGATGAGCTACTCTGATCTAGAGCCTTCTCAGAGCCTGGCAGGGCGGAGTTTCCATCAAGTAGCCATGTCTGCCATGGTGTCCGAATAGGCAGGACATCATATTTGCAAGCCACGGTCCTGTCCACATTTGAGGGATGTCCTTCAAACTATTCCCTAACATGCCACCTCTGACTGGCTGCTGATGAGGCTTCAGAGGAGGCCTGGCCTAATGATCTTCTTTGTTTGGGGGATTTTTTTTGGTGAAGGGGTGTCCCGGCCCGCGGGTAAGTCAACGGAGACCCTAGAGGGGGAGCGAGGATGAGAGGGGACAGGGGACACGAGAGATGGAGACAAGACAGGTTTCTGATCAAGTCTCGTTTATTGCAGAAGCTATTACAACATATATACCGTAGG